TTTAACCACCTCGGTGACCTCAACACCAGAGATTGGAGGGCCCGACCCAGAGTCCCCAAGGCTCCACTTCCTCAGTGGAAGACATGCCGGTGGGATTGAGGAGGCCTTCAAAAGTATTCCGCCCACCGACCCACAACATCCCGAGTTGAGGTCAGCAGCACACCACTCCCACTATAAACAGTGTTGGTGGCGTACCGCTTTCCCCCCCTGAGACGCCGGATGGTGGACCAGAATCACCTCGAAGCCGTGCGGAAGTCATTCTCCATGGCCTCTCCGAACTTCTTCCATGCCTGAGTTTTTGCCTCAGTGACCACCCGAGCTGCATGTCGCTTGGACTGCTGGTACCCATCAGCTGCTTCTGGGGTCCCCCAGGCCAAAAAGTCCTGATAGGACTCCTTCTTCATCCTGACAGCATCCCTCACCGACGGTGTCCACCATCGGGTTCGAGGGTTGCCGCCACGACAGGCACGACAACCTTGCGGCCGCAGCTCCGGTAAGCCGCCTCGACAATAGAGGCACGAAACATGGTCCACTCAGACTCCATGTCCCCCACCTCCCTCGGAACATGTTCGAAGTTCTCCCGGAGGTGGGAGTTAAAACTCCGTCTCACAGGAGACTCTGCCAGACGTTCCCAGCAAACCCTCACAATACATTTGGGTCTGCCAGGTCTGACCGGCATCCCCCCCCACCATCGGAGCCAACTCACCACCAGGTAGTGATCAGTGGACAGCTCCGCCCCTCTCTTCACCCGAGTGTCCAAGACATGTGGCCGCAGATCAGATGAGACGATGACAAAGTCGATCATCGAACTGCAGCCTAGAGTGTCCTGGTGCCAAGAGCACATATGGACACCCTTATGCTTGAACAAGGTGTTCATTATTGACAATCCATGACGAGCACAGAAGTCCAACAACAGAACACCACTCTGGTTCAGATCAGGGGGCCCGTTCCTCCCAACCACAACCCTCCAGGTCTCACTGTCATTGTTATTATTGTTTTAGGTAAGTAAATATATACCAGGAAAACATCCAAACCTTCAAATTTTCAGTTTCAGACATGTTGTCTTGACTGAAAGTAACCTTGTCTAACCCTGTTTTAAGCCAACACATTCCTTCTGTCTGTGTGATCTGCTCTTATTCCTTCATGACAACAGTATAACATTTAATTCTCTTTACCTATGAGTTTTAGCAATTTTTTGTAAAAATAAATAAATAAATAAAGTTAATATTAGTTCCAATAGACACATTTGTACTCTCTACAAGGTTTACAAAATGTTACCCTTTAATAAAGAAATAGGTAGAATGCTATAAATATTTTACAGATATTGAAATAATAGAATACATTAAGTTTTATATATATATATATATATATATATATATATATATATATATATATATATTATTTATTGCATTATATTATATTGTATTTTATTATATTTATTATATTATTAAGTATACTGTTTGTTATGCAGTACATCATATTTAAAACCAATGTCACTACAATGAGCAAATTGCAATCAAGTGTTCCACGATTATTTATTTTACAGAGTAAACATTTGCAAGGATTGATTTTTAAGTCTAGTCATAAAACATGTTGTTACTAAGCAACAGTAATTATTATATTATTAATGTTTGGATAAAACTGTGTTTTACAACATCTAATCAAGACAAAATACAAACATTAATTAGCCTGTGGAGGCATTTCTGTCTGTCATTTGCTTTATTATTTGTTTGTTTTTACTGTAAGTTAATAAGCGCTGTTGAACTATCTGATTGCACTCTGAGAAAACTGGTTTTATTTTAGGTGCCCGCAAATTTTATCTCAACTAATTAAACATTGAAAAACTACTGAGCATACTGAAGGGGCTGTGGTAGATCGGTGCTCAGTGCTGCGGCCTCTTAATCCTGGAGCTGCTTGTTCGAGCCCAGGTTCGTTCAGGGTTGTGGGTGAGCTGGTATCTGTCTCTTGCAGTCTCTGTGCAGGGGAGTGTGGCGGCACTTTGCACAGGTCTCCAGTCCATCACAGGGACATATAGAAACAAACGTGACAAACAACCATTCACTCTCTTGTGTTTTTGTCATTTTTTAGTGAGTTAGAGTAAATTACTTTTCTAAACCAACAAGTGACTTAATGCACATTCTAGTTCAAGAATCTTTATTATCCCCAAGGGGCAATTTGTTTCACAGTCATTAGACACAAAACATCCATACAAGACATTAAAATAACAGAACAGAAATCATCATTGTTTATTGAGAAGTCTGATCCCTACAGGTATCAATGAGTTTTTCAGTCTGTTCTTCTACATCTGGGCAACAGATGCCTGCATCCAGATGGAAACAACCTGACCTCACCATGGAGTGGGTGATCAGGATCTGCCAGAACCAGCCTGGCCTTGTTCACTGACCTCGCCTTGTGTAGGTCAGTGAGGTTCTGCAGGTCAGTGAGGTTCTGCAGGGCTATGCCAGAAGTTTTGCTGCACATCCTGACAATTCCTGAGAGTTTCTTCTTGTTCTTACATGTCAAAAGTCCAAACTAACAGATGAAGGTGAAAGTTAAGAGACTCAATAAAACATGAATAAAACATTATCATAAAAGTTGAATCAAAATTAAAACCACAGAACTTCTGATAAAAATACATTCTCTGGTGAGCCTTCTTACAAAGTGAGTTCACGTGGGGGTCAAAGGTCAATTTGTCATCAAGAACAGTTCTCAGATCTTTATATTGTTGCACCACCTCGACAGATGCACACAGAGTGGGTCACAGCCTCATTTATTAGATTAAACATGAACATAGGACAGATTATTTATTTATTTATTTATTAAATTCCCTTGTTATTGTCATATTGCCTTCTTTCACCAACTAAAATAAACTTTATCTTTTGGTTGGTGATTATGTGTAACAAGACACCAATTTTCATAGTAATTTTATGTGCAGTAGTTAAATTTATTCACAATAGACAGCATGGTGTAACTAAACCTGTCAACAATTTTGTAAGCAAACGCATCACCGTGCTTTCTTTGCCCTGGGAACATCTTGGCCTAGATGACAACACACCGAGAGCAATCTGCAGGATGAGGCACACTGTGTTCTTCTGGCTGGGGTTGAATAATATTATGGGAAGTCCCAGTTTCAAAGCATATTTAAACGATGCATCTGGACTCTGTGACAAGACCTGTTCAAAGTCTAGTGGTACCGTACCGAGAGGAGGCGCTAATCAATCATTTTATTCACTTCTGTTTACTGAAGTCAGGCTCAGTGTAATATTCTCTCTTAGATCTGCAACAGGGACATAACCCTGATGCTTTTAAAACATCTTTGTTGAGCTGCATTTTCATCTAGCCATCTAGACTTGCAAAGGATTTCTACTTTGACTAGAGATGCATTTGTATAAGCTGTAACAAGTACTTTCAGTCAGTGAATGTTTTTTAGTATTTCATAGAACATAAATTTGAAATCAAAAGGGCCTGAGCAGCCTCTGTGCTCATATGATCTAAACCATTATTCAACTAAATTGCTCAGAAGGGCACAGTTACTGAAAGCCAAGAGCTCAGGGGCCGGACATCCAGCAGTTATTATCATTAAGTTTGTTTTATGATTTAAAATCTAGTTTTATTTAAAAATGAACCCATTAGTGATCTGAACTGAGCTTAAAAAAAAAGCATGTTTTAACATGTTACCTGTAACCAATAAATCATCAGAGTCATCAGAGTTGGGTTGATTGAAGTCTGCTTTAAAGCTTCACACTGACATTTACTGATCAAAGACAATAAACCATCAAAATGGATTCAGTATTTATGTATTAGAGCACATAATGAACCATAACAGAATAGAACTGAACTACAAGTGCTATAAATAAAACATCTCATACTCCTGCAGAGGTGTCATGAGTTCATTAGGTCTCATACAGCTTATATCACCAGTGGCAAATAAATAAACGTAGACCTTTGAAAGACCTCTTTCTCTGGGACTCAGCATTTCTAAACACAGAAACGCATATCTGGAAAAATGTGAATAATATTCAAATGAGCCCATCACTCTGGGCAGGGTTAAATTATATCCAGGCTAATTGATTTTTATTTCAAATCAATTGCTTAATTTCACTACAACAAAGTTAATCACCCGTGTTTATGGCATCCAAGATCAGTGTGAAGAGTCCAACTGATGTATATAACCACGTCTCATGTTTTGAACAGCGTTTCTCTTCACAAGTTGTTTTTATAATGCAGCTACATGATGGAGGCCAGTAATAAATTAATGAACAGCAGCCTGAGGGAGTTACATGAACCTCATCCCATTAAGAGCTCATGATAAAGAATGTAATTTGTGTCTTAAAGATCGTTTTACTGGCAGAGCTAAAATAAGGCTTTCATTTGGGCACTGGCCTACATTGCTTCAAATGGGAAGCGATGGAGAACAAAGCAGAAAAAAGCAGCTTTTATGTTTGTTTCAATTCGACAAAGTTGTTAATACAACTTAGGTGCAAAGCAGATGTAACATAAATGTTAATGTTTCATGTATAGTAGATACATTTAAAATAGGTGTAGGTAAATATTCTCCACATTGAGAGCATAAAAACATCTTAAATGCTTAAAGATAATGTTCCTGCTGGTTACAGTTAAATTTCCATTATTTTAGACTGTAGCTTTTAATCATGTGTCAAAACAATCAGCGTTAGGAACAGCTGCTTGTAGTTGCATGCACAGTTTGTGAAAAGTTTAGCAAATTTCCCACATTCCTAAAGATGTTTATGCTGTGAGTCATGAACTTCTACACCTGAACTCTGTCCTTCTCTCCTTTTCACCCCTACACCTTATCACTCCCTGACTTTCTCCTCATCCCTCTTTCATTCTTTGCTCCTGTGTGCCTCTCCCTGACCTTTCCTCTCACTTCATCTTTGCTGTCCTCCTTTCTCCTACACCTTGTCCACCCCCACCGTCTTTGTCTGCCCCCTTTCAATGGTGGTGGCTGACAGTGACTTTGCATCCAAAATGAAAAACAGGCAGATGGGCTCGTCCGGGGGAGTGAACATGACCAAGAGCACAAGCGTCAGCGGCGACATGTGTAACCTGGAGAAGACGGATGGCAGTCAGTCAGACACGGCAGTCAGCACGGTAGGCACTGACAACAAGAAGAGGCGCTCCAGCATCGGTGCCAAAATGCAGGCCATGGTTGGCATGTCGCGCAAGAGTCGGAGCACCTCTCAGCTCAGCCAAACAGGTAGGACTGTACCGCAAGTAAACTTCACGTCTTCACATCTGTCCTGTCTCTGGTTGTCCAGTTGTAGACTTACGTTTTGATCTGCCCAAGACGTTAAACACTAATCCTACTTTTTAGTTTGGTTCCCCCCTTCTTTTTTCCAGTTTTAGTTGGAACAGGACTTTTTGGACCTTCATACATAATTTTGACATTCTCTTTCAGCGTTTCTCTTTTCTCTAGGTGACAACAATCCAGTTTTTTTTTTTTTATATATATATATATATAAATATATATATATGTTGGAATAATTGTTTCTTTTTTATATAGATTAGTAATATTAAAAAGTTTAAAGCTGTCGGTTAATTGTGCCTTTATGGGAATATTTTGTGATTTTTTTGTTAATTCATCTTGAAAATCTCTTACTTCTTAACACATCTGCTTGTTGCAATTTGCATTTTGTCGCCTTTCTCATGTTGCAGTGCTTTTTTGGCTGATTGTTTTAAAGTGCAACACTTTCCCAAAGTGCTTCTAAATGATGCTTGTTAATTATTTTTGACTGCTTTAGGAAGGTGCATGCAGGCATAGAGGTGCAATTTTCCTTAGCTGAGTGCAAGAATGTGTTTTTTTTTCTAATGTGTAAGAGATTCCTCACTGACTTTGCAGTAGAGCTTGTTTTTCTTGTTTTTTTTTCAATACTCTGCAACAATTATAAAGGAGTTTAGCTTTATTACCTAATGCCTGACAGTTTGAAACAAAGTTCTGTGTGGTGATTTCTTCATCTGACAGATTAGATTTTGGTCTGTTCAGCTGAAAGTTAGTTGGGCCAGTCCCTCTTTTTCTGGCTGTGGCCTCTTCAAAAAGCATTTTACACTTTAGTCTTGTTCATATTTAACTTTAAGATGGTCAGAAATCGTGACTACACATAAGCGTTGTCTGTTCAGATCCATTCAGTTCACCCGACAGGCAGATGGTAAGAACAGTGCCCGTGTGCAGAGTGGAGGGATGAGAGTGAAGTGAGATGGTGCACTCACGTGGCAGCGCTCTGCTCCCCTGAATACGAACTGAAAGGCACATGGGCTGGGAGTTTATCTAAGTGTGTGTGTGTGACTTTATGTATGGTTTGTTGGCTGTTTCCTGGTTGTTTTGTTGCTGAAAAATGACTCGTCACAAGTTTACATTGGCGACAGTCACACCTTTTATCTTTGTTCAGTCTTTTTTTTGGATCAGAATATAGAAATTTAAAAAACAAACATGTTCACACGTTTCTTTTCCCAAGCAGACACAACAAACTGAATCTCCTGGAGTTATTAATATTTTAGTCAGTTCCTTCTAAGTGCATGAGAAGGACTTTTTCAGAGTGTGCATATCTGCCTTCAGGTATTTGAGATTTGGTTATGGTTGTGAACCAACACATGCTGTTCCAAGTTGCCCTCTGCCCTACTTTGTTATTCACTGCCCCGAGTGGCTTATCTCCCTCTTTAATGGTGCATTCAAATGATGGTGGATTTTTCATAGCTGTTTGTGTGCTGCCAAGAGCTGGTGGGGGCTGAGCAGATCATCCAAGCAGCACAACTTCAGCTATCCAAACACTGGATACTCTAATGGATACGCTTCCAGGTGCTTCCCAAGAATATTGTGTACCCAGTTAGCAAATTCAACATTTACTTGCTAAAGGTGGTGGGATAATGTGTAGCTTTAAGTCATAACACTAAAATGATTCAATACAGTACAACAAGGAGCACAGGCATCAACAATATAGTAATCAAGTTGTGCTTTTAATTTTTTTTTATGTTTCTTAGTGTAAAAAATTTGATCAGTTTATTTTTATACTTTCTCCAACATTAGATAAGGACCTACTCCTTTCCATTATATTTCCAGCGTTGTTACATGTTCTACTGATTACCAGTAAAGATGCTGTCATAAAGAATATTTGGATGAGGATGTTGCCCTCAGCTGAGGATTTCAAAGCTGTTCTGATTATTGTTTATATCGTTTCTTTCGACCCATTTGTTTTGTCATTAATGGTTAAAAGAGCTGATACATAAACATGTTTATAAAGAAACGGTACATGTCTTATTTATGGAAACATGAGCCATCACGTTTGTAGAGTTTATAAAAATAGCAAATACAGCACAAATTTATATCCTGTTTATGAGGAAGTGTGTTTTCCATTGAGACTTTAACAGGTTTAGTTTCTGTGGAACTGTGTTTATTTACTGGTAGTTCTCTCTGTGTTTTATCTTACAGCTGTTTATTCTTTTAATAGAAAGAAATAATTGCTTTGACTGTCACAGTATGCATTCTGCTGCTAATCTATAGATTTAAACGCATCAGACAGACAGCTGCTGTGTGTTACATTGTGGAAAGATATACATCTGCCTTTTTAAATACTGTACGTTCTGGACTATAAGCAGCTACTTTTTTCACAGCTTTGAATCCTGCGGCTTATACAAGGCTGCAGCAAATTTATGGATTTTTGACGGCTAACGAGCTTCATGCCACCAAAACATTTAGCCTCGGCACACCCGGGTGCTCACATAGCTGCCCAGTACACGTCTCTCTTGGGGGGTGGGTCCTCGTGACTCAGTGAGACTGCCTGTATAAATAAAGTTTAAAAATTTTATTTTTTTTAATCAGACCAGTGAAATTATCAAACAGGTCACAGTGGACCAATGAAACTTCAAATTACCATGAATCAAACACACTCATACTAAATTCTTCAGATCTGCTCTTTTGCGTTTCATGCACAGTAGAGCTGCAATTTTTTTGCCCAAACCAGCCTGACCCTAAACTCGGGCTGGGTTGGATCAAAATTATGTGCTTGATGGGCGGGCCGGATCGGGTCGAGCTTTTGATGCGGTTTTAGAAGTGACAGACTTTTTAGTTTTTGTTTTTTTACTTTATGTGCAACTGCACTATTGCCAAAGAGGATCTGGCATGAGGCCGTTGCCCTGGATTACCTGCAGATTATTCTTCACCCCGAGTTTGGATCGTGGTAGATTTTTTTTTCTTATCTAGGACTGCAGCGGAGGCACGCTAAAGCCTATGAACATTGAGATCTGGTGCGATCGTTTCTTTTTATTTTGGTGCACCGACGCCTAGACTGAGTGGGCGTTTCCCTCATCCTCCTTCAAAATGAGCTTTCCTTCAAACAGTTGGACTGAAAGTTTGATCAACTTGTTGTTTTTTATTTATGGGGTTTATGGATTTCATGTGTTGATATGGAAATATTGTGGGATGAAGCATTTGGGGGTTTGTGGGGCAAAACTGATGGCTTGATTAAATTGTGTTAACTTTCTTAAATGTTGTCCTTGGTGGACAAGCTATTATTAGTTTATTTATGAGAGCTTTTTGCCTGTGTGGCTCAATTATTTTCTGTTTACTGTACTGGGTTATTCTTACACCTAAAACAATATAAGTTTTTTGTGCTGTCAGCTCCAGGCACTGCACATTAACTAATTAGCATTTTATGTAATTAATCCCCCTTTTACCATAGTTTTGGGGGCAGATTGTTGCAGATGGACAACTGGATCATCAGCCGTGCATGTCCCCCGACCTTTAATAACTATAATATTATAATAACTATAATTATTCGCTGACTCTTGATAGTAAACAAGAAGTCTTATATCTTCCTTTCTTTGAAATACGTTTTTAAAACCATCAATTCAATTCAGTTTATTTATATAGCGCCAATTCACACATACATACATACATTATATTTTACCCGCTTCTTCCATTTTGGGTCATGGGGGTCGCCAGTGCTCATGTACAGCAATCACTGTACGAGGGGCGGGGTACACCCTGGACAGGTCTCCAGTTCATCACAGGGACACATAGAGACAAACAACCATTCACTCTCTCACTCACACCTAGAGACAATTTAGAGTTACCAATCAGTTTAACATACATTTCTTTTTTTTTTTCATTTAGCCTTTATTTATCCAGGTTAGTCTCATTGAGACACGAGAACTCATTTTCAAGAGAGACCTGTTTAGGGAGCACATGGTGGGGGTTAAGGGCCTTGCTCATGGGCCCAGAGTGGGGCGAATGAGGGTGGGGGCAAGTGTGGGTGTTTCACCTACCCCACCCACAATTTTGATGTTGTCGGGGCCGGGGCGTGAACCGGCGATCTTCGGATTACAAGCCCACCTCTCTAACCTCTGCGCCACCACTCCCCCCGGACCGAAATTTGAATCTGCAACCTTCTCCCTGAGATGCAGCAGCTCTACAAGTTGTGCCACCCCATTCACATGCATAAAAAAGCCAATTAGTAAAGTTCTCTATGGAATTCAGCAGACTCGTTGAATCGTCACTTCCTTGCAGTCTCCCATCCTGAGCAAGTACAGTGGCAACAGTGGAAAGGAAAAACTCCCTTTTTAAAAGGAAGAAACCTCCAGCAGAACCAGGCTCAGGACAAGCGGCCATCTGCTTTTGACCAGCTGGGTTTGAGAGGAACAGGAAGGAGAGACAAACAAACACAGAACACAGTAGGTCCAGATGAAGGTGCAGGTGTACCTGAAAGACATGTCAAACTCATTTGCTTACAAAGGCATCCATCCATTATTTTTTACCCGCTTCTTCCATTTTGGGTCACGGGGGTCGCCGGTGCCCATGTCCAGCAATCACAGTGTGAGGGGCGGGGTACACCCTGGACTGTTCATCACAGGGACACATAGAGACAAACGAGACAATCAACCATTCACTCTCTCACTCACACCTAGGGACAATTTAGAGTTACCAATCAGCCTAACATGCATGTTTTTGGTCTGTGGGAGGAAACTGGAGTACCTGGAGAAAACCCACGCATGCATGACGAGAACATGCAAACTCCACCCAGAAAGGCCCCCAGACCGGGATTTGAACCAGGGACCTGCTCACTGAGAGGCAGCAGCTATACCAGTTGCGCCACCGTGCTGCCCCTTACAAAGGCAGTAAAAGTCTAATTTTATAAAATGTCAGGGTTGGGCTTTTTTTCAGGTTCAGGCCTGTAATCACAATTAGTTGGTCAGTTTCAGGTCGGG